ATCCTAATATCTTAAAAACCTTATTTATATATATATATATATACAAATCTTGTTTGTGTGCATGTATTTCTCATACTTTGCAATCCTATTAATCAAAAAATGTTACCTATGAATTTTACTTAAAAATGTTTTGCATGATTCTTAAACAATTTGTGGTTAACATTTTTAGAGGCTTTATGTCATTCCATCATATATACCCATCGTCATTTGTTTAGTCACTTCCAATTATTGAATGATGATGCTCTTATAGTTTGGATTCTTACTTTATTTAAACTATTACAATCTATATAGCAAAGATCATCCTATACTAATAGCTTTTCTGACAATTCAGCTACTTAAGAATAATTCCCACGAGTATGATTAATGAATCGTGGATTAATATTCTTATTATTATCAACAGTATATATATTTAGAGTGGAATATTTCTCAGTTTGAGGATGGTATATCTACCTAGCCTTTAGAACTTTGTTATAGTTTAATCTCTCATAAGTTCCAGCTATTCTTTCTACTCTCTCCTCCTTCTATGCTTAATTGAAACCAGGCCTTCCCATCAGGGAACATCTTCCTTGCATCATTTTCAAATAGTGGCTGCTTATTTTCTTGTACCCTTATTTCCTCAAGATCAGGAGTTGTGTCAGCGCCATCCTTGCTCTCCATTGCTACTTTCAAGTATTACTCCAACCCCATAACTTAAAAAAAAGCACATCTGCCCTTTATAGTTAAAGGCATTTAGCTATAACAGTATTTCCAAATAAATTCTTTGTATACCACCATCACAATATTTTTTGCCATATTTGCATACCATCATTATTACTATTTAATTTTATTCTTGAAAATATTGTAATTGTTTTACTTAAATACATTTATTTTAAACAAACAATTATCTAGGCACTAATATTTGTGAAGTCCATAAAATCCACCTTATATATTAATTATATTTTAATGTATATTACCCAAATACATAAAGTATTACATTTTTGTAAATTTTGTCCAGATTGTGAGGTTGTCATCAAAGAATTAAAAATCTATCAAAAACAATAACCTAAAAATATAATATCAGAAATTGAGAAGCAACTTGATGGGATTGAAAATCTATTGTACATTACAAAAGATGGATTCATGAGATGGAATAGAGAATTTATAAAGTGAATCACAGAAAAGAAAAAAGTAGCAAATATAGAAAAAGACACATTAGGGATGTATATAAATTTAGGTACTTTTTTTACAATTGAAACCTAACAAATTTAAATGTTAATAAAAACACCATGGAAGTGGTAGAAATAATGACTGCATTTCTATATAATCTGGAAATGGGAAAAACTTTTCCTGTGATTCAGAATCAGGACCAACATGAAAAAAGAGTGAAATATTTTATTTCATAAAAAAAATTTATTCTGCACTGGAAACATTATCATAGAAAGCAAGGAGAGATGACAAACTGGGCAAATATTTGCAACTTATATGCAACGGTTAATAGCTTTCATATATGGGGCATTTTCAGCATAATAAAGATAGTAACCATATGAATCAAAACTCACAATGGGTTTAAATTATATAAATTCATGACACTTAACACAAAATAATTACTGTCACTTAAGAGTGCGAGTGAACCAATTTACTTTTACAACTGGTAAATAAAGGAAAGGACCAAGTAAGTATCTGTTCTGCTTTCCTTAGACAAACTGTATATCATGTAAATAATTGGTAGATAAGAGAAAGTTTTCTTTATAAGAATGCATCAGCTAATAAATGAAGGAATGGTAGATTTAGAACATCTGTTTGGCAATCCATAATAAATTAATGGATCTAGGTAATATTCATTAGTGGCTGCTTATATTACATGGCCAGATATTATGTGCTTCTGATGTAATTCTATAACATCATCTATGATGTACTCTTGCCAAAAAACAAAACATAAAAACAAAAACCTTAATGTGATCAAATCTCTGTATTTAATCAAAAGGTGACAGAGGAACATATAGATATGGGGATAATCAGGCTACAGATAATCAAATTTACTCAACAAATACGTCACAAAAGAAAAATAAACAATGTAAAATAGCCTTCAGGTGAAAGAGATTTATTAAATAATCACAACACATGGAGATTATTTGAATCCTAATTTAAACCAAATGTAAAAATAAAGATTATGAGGCCAACTGGATACTTGATGACAAAGGGACTTACTAGTTTTGTTGTTGTTGTTGGTTTTTTTTTAAAATTCTGATAGTGGTATTATGGCTACATATTTTTTCAACATCTTTATCTTTTAAAGATTTATTATAAAATGAATAGGGTATCTTGATTTTCTTCAAAGTATTTTGTGAGGGGGCAGTTGATAAGAGTTTAAGGAAAACAAGATTGCCTATGAGTTGATAATTATTGAAGTTATATGTTTAGAATTTTGTTATAGTTTAATCTCTCATAAGTTCCAGCTATCTTCATGATACTATTCTATATAATTTTGTATATGTTTGAAATTTTCCACAATTAGGAATTTTTAAGTTTTTTCATGCATCACCTAAAATCATCTTGGATACTAGCAGCTATATGTAACACACTTGAGAAAAATTAAAGAATCCCTCTCCCCTACTTTTCCTCTATCCAACACCTGTTTTCTTTCTTTTCTTCTCTAATATCATTTCTATTACCCAAAGGTTGTAAAACTATAGCCTGTGGGCCAAATTTGGCTTGCTGCCTGATCTATATATATAAAAGCTTCGTATGCAAATTGTCCCCGCTGGAGTTGAACCAGGAGACCGAGAGTTCAGTTGCTCGCTATGACATGTGCTGATCACCAGGGGGCAGCGTGGAATGAAGGAAGACCCTAGCCGGCAGCCAGAAAAAGCTGGGGAAGAGAGGCCCCGGCTGGCAGCCGCAGCGGAAGCGGGGCTTCTGGCAGACAGGGGACTAGTGGCCATGGAAGGAAGGGCCGGGCAGGGGTGTGGTGGATGGGCTGAGACCCGCCCTGTGCCCACCGCAGCCTCGTGGCCCACAGATCCTTTCAAGGTGCACAAATTCATGCAGTGGGCCCCTAGTATTTTATAAGCATTAGATTTTGTGTTTCCCCACATAAAGCAATGTTGTGTGTTTCCCAGGATGTGACGGAAAGCATTCTGAGAAAAGGGAGTCTATCCCTAGGCATATGTTGTTGGTAAAACAAACATTTGTGAGTAGGGGCTTCTACTGGAGATGGCTTTTCTCCAGAGCACCATCACACGCTTTTCTGTAATGGGGGCTTGGCATATAGCTTGAAATAGAAACTAACCTTTAGAAACTAATTTCTAAATCAGTGCATGCATAGACTCAAAGACTTGCTGAGTGTCTCCCCACAACCATTCCCAACCTGACCCATAATACCTGTCCCTCATCCAGTATGTGCTTCCTTCCCTATTATTATTTGTTATTCATCTTTATATCATTAATATTTAAAGATCATTGCAGGTATTCACTGAAAAGGGCAGCACTTACCACCAACCATGCAAAGGTGAACTCAGATGAAATTCCCGAGGAGATATTTTGAAGGCATGGTATTTTCAGAGTCTGATTTATCTCTATTTCTATTGTATTGTGGCTTCTCCATTCTTCCTGTGTAACTGTAACAAAACATAAGGTGGAAAAGACATGGATCTGTGATTGGTTTATAAAGTGCCTTTTATCAAAGAAACGAGAACCGTTTTAGCATAAAGATTCATCCATCCTCAGGGTATACCTATGAAGTAAAGAGGAGAAATCCCATTAGAGTCCTTACTGTGTTGATGGCAAAACAAAGTTACATTTCTCTAATTAATTCCCTTTCAATCTGCACAAATATCATACACCAGGCCACTAGTTTTAAATAAAACTACATTGAAAACCTGTCAAGAAAGCACCTAAGTAAGAGCACTGAAAGTAATTTTTCACCACTGAAAAATTATAGGGACTCTTTCCTAAAAGAATTAAGTTCACAATTTGACATGTTCCTCTGATTTATCCCTAAATTCGTGCTTTAGTCTTCAGATCACATTTCCTTAATCAGATAAAATGTAAAACATTAAATCTTAGCCTATAATTGCCCTTTTAAATTTTAATAGACTTAATATTTTTATGTCTGTGAACCTAAAACAGCAAAATGAGTGGAAAGTACAGAGAGTTCCCATATTCCCCTTGGTCCCATGCTTGCACAACCTCCCCCACTATTAACATCCCTAATCACAGCGGTATATTTGTTACAATCATGAACCTACCCCGACTCATCTTTATTACCTAAACTTCATAGTTTATTTACATTAGGGTTCACTCTTGGTGTTGTGCAGTCTATGGGTTTTGACACATGCATAATGACGTGTTCACCATTGTGGTATCATACGGAACAATTTCACTGCCCTGAGAATGGTCTATGCTCCATCTATTCATCCCTCCCTCCCACCAAACTCCTGTCAACCACGGATTTTTTTTCTTGTTTTTATAATTGTCTTTATAGAGCTTATAAATTCCTTCAAGTAAAAAATGATACAGAAAAATATATAAGGAAAATCTAGGGAGACATCATTAACACATTGGTTTCATTTTTAAAGTGATATGAGATAAATAGCTGTCTATAGACTTTTTGTGTGGAAAGTTTTATACACACACACACACACACACACATACACATATATCGGATACTTGATGACAAAGGGACTTACTAGTTTTGTTGTTGTTGTTGGTTTTTTTTTAAAATTCTGATAGTGGTATTATGGCTACATATTTTTTCAACATCTTTATCTTTTAAAGATTTATTATAAAATGAATAGGGTATCTTGATTTTCTTCAAAGTATTTTGTGAGGGGGCAGTTGATAAGAGTTTAAGGAAAACAAGATTGCCTATGAGTTGATAATTATTGAAGTTATATGTTTAGAATTTTGTTATAGTTTAATCTCTCATAAGTTCCAGCTATCTTCATGATACTATTCTATATAATTTTGTATATGTTTGAAATTTTCCACAATTAGGAATTTTTAAGTTTTTTCATGCATCACCTAAAATCATCTTGGATACTAGCAGCTATATGTAACACACTTGAGAAAAATTAAAGAATCCCTCTCCCCTACTTTTCCTCTATCCAACACCTGTTTTCTTTCTTTTCTTCTCTAATATCATTTCTATTACCCAAAGGTTGTAAAACTATAGCCTGTGGGCCAAATTTGGCTTGCTGCCTGATCTATATATATAAAAGCTTCGTATGCAAATTGTCCCCGCTGGAGTTGAACCAGGAGACCGAGAGTTCAGTTGCTCGCTATGACGTGTGCTGATCACCAGGGGGCAGCGTGGAATGAAGGAAGACCCTAGCCGGCAGCCAGAAAAAGCTGGGGAAGAGAGGCCCCGGCTGGCAGCCAGAAGGCCCTGATCGGCCCTGATTGCTAGCCAGGCCTAGGGACCCTACCCATGCATGAATTTCATGCACCGGGCCTCTAATTTTGTCAATAAGGTTCTATTATAGCATACATATTGTATAGAGGTGCTCTCATGCTACAAAGGTGGAGTTGAGTAGTTGTAACAGAGACTGTATTGACCACAAAGCCTAAAATAGTTACTATCTAGCCCTTCAGAGAAAGTTTGCTAACTCCTGCTCTAACTTTTCATCATCCATTATTCCTTGATATAATCCTGGGTAATTTCAGTAACCATGTAGATGACCTATTCAGTACCTGGCCTCTCAGTTCTTTCCACTGTCATCTCCATCAACTGTCTCCACTCCATTTCAGCCACGTACTCTCACAGTCAAATCTCAGACCTATCACCAGGCACTATTGCTTCACCTACAAAATCACTAATTCAAACCCTACAAACGCATCTTCTACTTGTGCAACTAGTCCCATCTCAACTGTTCTCTGACCTTATTGGATTTTTTAATGAGTTGATATCTCTACTTTTCCTCAATCCATCACCTGTCTTCTTTCTTTTCTTCCCTCATTATCAAGCTAAACTTCCATAGTTTCTATCATTTCAATAATATTCCTTCTTATATCCCAAATCCCTTGCCTTTTTTTCCATCTGTTTAAAGAGAATTGGACTGTGGTAGACCCAAACTGTTTACTTTTTAATGCACAGACCCAAACAGCCAAGCAGTGCTGGAGAAAGCCACAGTGCAAATTGTCTTTACTGCATTTTCATACCACAGTCAAATGAATGCTCAACACTGATCAAATATCCAATACATCTACTAGTACCTAGTGAACTCATTTTCCTTCTATCTATAGAAGGTATTTCAAACCTCTCCAAATGTCTTTTTCTGAAGCCTCCTTATTTGCCTGGAGATAATCTTCTCCATTTTAGAGAAAAGATTACAAGATGGCACATACCTTATCATATGTACTCATCCTAGTTTCCTTCTCTCCTGGTTTAAAAAAAAAAGTTCTTTTTTCCATTTCAAGATAGTCCTACTACTAATGTTACGGATCTCAATGCCTCCATCTTCTCAGAAACTTTAATTTATTGATTTTACCTTTTTCATTGTATATTTAACTACTCTCAACTGCATCTTGCTTATTGGCTTTGAAACAATAGTCAATGTCTTTCATTAAATAAAACCATCACTGCCACCACCATCACCATGACCACGTGAATGAAAATCCTCATTTAAGTTCCCCTAACCTTTGCATTACTACTAACACATTTCTTAGTTGTGTCAATATTTGCTGTTTTCACTTCTTTTTAAAAAATTTTGTTGATTAAGGTATTACATATGTGTTCTTATCCCCCCATTACTCCCCCAACCCCCCACTCATGCCCTCACCGCCCTGTTGTCTGTGTCCATTGGTTATGCTTATATGCATGCATACAAGTGTGGGCTTGTTTTCACTTCTTTGAATTCTATTCATACCTCTTCTCCCTTCACTCTGACTTCCAACTCTAATAATGCCACAAAAACAGCTCTTGTGATCAATACATTTTGTTTATAAATACAGTACAATAATCATTTTGTCCTCTCAGAAACATCAGAATCAGTGGCTACTTCCTTTATTAAATACTATTATTATTCTAGGTTTTTATAATGTAACTCTCCCAATTTTACACCTGACTCTTTAGTTACTGTTCTATTCAATTTGAACATTTGTTTTTCCCCATCCATCACCATAGACTCTGTTGAAGGGCCACATTGTTTTTCTTAGTTGATTTTCTACCTCTATATGATTTCTTTCACTTCCAGAACTTTAGTTAGCACCCACACTCAGGTGGCTCACCAGCTTATATCTTCTGTTTAAATCTTTATCTAGATCAGGAATTGTATATCCAGTTGTTTGCCTGACATCTTCTGTATGTTTCAACTTCATGTCTAACTCAACATGGATGAAGTCAAACTCAAAAGAATCCCTACGCAATCTGTTTTCTAACACAATGAGTAATTTCTCATTTTTTTCCTGTTCTACATATTTGAAACCAAAGCATCATCCTTGACTGCTTTTTATTCCTCACTCCACATAAGCACCCTGCCACCAATTCTATAGGTTGATTTTCCTACATATTTTTAATCTGAGCATTCTTCTCCACCTACTGCCACTTTTCTCAGTTTTACTGGTATCTCTCACCTAGATTTCTGCCATTGCCTTCTAACTGGCCTACACTAACTATCCTCTCAGCCCTTCTCCAATTCATTCTCTAAATGTTGGCCACAATAATATCTTTGACATGCAAGATAAAACAATAAAAATAAAAACATGCCCTGGCCAGCTTGGCTCAGTGGATAGAGCGTCAGCCTGCAGACTGAAGGGTCCCAGGTGCGATTCTGGCCAAGGGCACATGCCTGGGTTGTGGGCTCGTTCCCCAGTGGGGGGTGTGCAGGAGGCAGCCAATCAATGATTCTCTCTCTTCATTGATGTTTCTATCTCTCTCTCCTTCTCCCGTCCTCTCTGAAGTCAATAAAGAAATATATTTTAAAAAACAAAAACAAAAAACAAACCACCTTTTAATTAGTTTCCACAGTTTTTAGGATAAAAACAAAACTTAACCAGACTAATCAATCTCTCTAGCCTTATCTTCAACTGCTTTCCTTTCAAACCTGCTCCTTTAAAAAAATAATACCTTTTAAAATTCCCCACAGTTGCCATATCTTCCTCCTATCACAGAGTCTTTGAAACTCTGTTATCTGTAAAGCTATATTCCCCACCATTACCTGGTTAATGCCTGATCAAGTGTCACTTCTGCAGGAAACCTTTCTTGATTTTTCTGTTATGCCCTCTTGTAACACTGTCTGCTTTCTTACTGAAGAGCACTTCTTACTATTGCAATTTGATATTTGTTTTATTATTTGATTAATGTCTGTCTCCTCTCATTGGACTTCCTGATTCCTGAGGGCAGAGTCATGTCTAATGCATACCACTGTATCCCTCAAGCCTAGCACTGTAATATATTTGTTAAAAATATTTGTTAGATGAAGAGTTAATACAATTTAAGAAGAGCCAGCATTTAAGTTCAAGAACAACTTATGCTATAAAAACATATATAGATCAGTGGGACAGAATAGAGAGGCCAGAAAGAAATCTACACATATATGATCAACTAATTTATTACAAAAGAATCAAGGGTATTCAGTGGGAAAAAGACAATCTCTTTTATAAATGGTGCTGAAAAAAC